GTCTTATTTGAAAATGAAAATGAATGAAAATTAATGCAGAGGATCTGAACGCCTGATAATAGTAGGCGTCTTCTTGAGGAATTCTAAGAACTGAGACTCACACAGATCACCTCATAAAGCATAAGGCATTGAGACTTAACTGGTGCGAAGTAGTAGCAAGCACCCAAAAAACTTTATTATATTTTTGCGGCTATCATACAGGAGAAATGAAGGAGTGGAAGTGAAGGCGGGAATCGCATAATACAAAAAATTACAAGTATGCACAGCATCTGAAGATACAATGGAAAACAAGAGGAGTGGATACTGTATTTGGCAAATGTCTGTGTGGATGCATTTAAGTGTGCATGTATGTATGCCATTCGTATTTACACAAACGAGAAATGAAATCTCTACAGATCAATTATGCTCCGAATCGCAGCATCAATTGTAGGATCCTCCGAGTGCTGTAACCTTTGATAGGGCACGCCATCGTCCGGTTCGATTCGGGATCTCGACATCTCCGGCATTGAAGCTGAGGGCGGAAGCAGACCCTAAAAACACGAAAGGTAAGCTTTAAGAATTAAGATTATTCGGTCAGAGGTGAAATCCAAAACGATGTCTTACAACAGGAAGGCTGTTTAGAGGAGACCTCGGTTCATGGCCACCGAAATTGTTCACCACTATTTCCTCCTCGTCTACAACAACATTTGATATATCATCTCCGGGAGAACTGGGAGGTTGGAAATCCATTGCATCCTCTGCTACCACCGCTTCTTCCTCCTCTTCTTCCCACTCAGGCCATGCGCCCTCTTCCACAGAGGCAGTGCACTTCACTAAAGACCTGGGAGACTCTTCAAATAAAGTTCCAACTTCTTCCATTTTGGATTTCGACCGTTGTTCATCCAACTGAAGATTGGCTGGTCGGGAGTTACCCTTTTCATCAAACTCCAGAGGGATGAAATCAGGTGCTGCCTCTTCAAGTAATTGACGTATGCGTTTGGATGGTACTGGATGGCATTCTTCAGCATCCAAGCGAGCCTTCAGTTTCTCGAATGCGGCTCGTTCAGCTGCAAGACGCTCACGATCACTTTCCAATACTAATCGAAGGAGCGGTAAGCGATCAGCTTGAGGACAGTCCATTAGTTGCTAAAAATTCCGAAAAACCCAGATCAGAATAAACAAGTCTGGAGCATACCCAAAGAGATGCACTTAAAATTTAAGGAACCTATCCCAGAACACAACACCAGGTCCAAAAATCGATTCTAAAATACCCAACTACTAATTCAGCTCATGATAGCTAGAAAATGAGAGACAAACACACCCATTTTTCGGCACACAGTATGGAATGTACAGCATCTTCCGTTTGCCGCTTCCTCGTAAATAGTTGATGAAACGCTTTATCAAGAATATCATCCACTGAAACGATTGAAAATGGAGAAATTTACGCACTGAAAAGACATTGAAATAAACAGAACTAACTAATCTTTTGCAAGGATAAAAAAGCTAACCCTTAGCCATGGCCTCCGGCGTGTTATCCATGTCTTGATGGACATGGTAGGGTGCCAAGATATTGAGAAGTTCTTCTGGAGTAGGTAACGATCGTTCGTCATGCGCCTCCAGGACTGGTGGTCGAGAAATTGCTGCAATCTGATCGGCATGAAGAAGGGTTCGAACAGCGTTAAGACGGCGAGATTGCAGCACAGACAGCTGATTTACTGGAGGTAGATTACCGGGTGTAGTACTGGCGGTAGAAACGACAGGAGAAGATGAAGCAGGAGCAACTACCCCAGGAGCTCGAACGAGCGTCGATGACGCACCGAATAGAGGCACCTTCAGAGGTAATGTTGACTTTGACGGATCTGAAGGGAGAAAGTACTATAGCTAGCAAATACTGCCTCTAGCAAAGAATAGAACGCCGATAACCTACCAGAAGGAGTATTAGCAGTACTAGCAGGCACGGGAGCAAGAACACACATTGTACCAGTCGAAAGTGATTGCCTAGGTGGTTGACCCGTCTGTTGTGAGGAAGAGGGTTGTTGTGGTGTTGGCTGGGGTTGGGATGATGGCGCTGGCGGGCGAAGCAGTCGGAGCTGTGTTGCCACGGGAGGCGCGGGTCGAGGATGTGCGGTGAAGAAGCGAGCCTGTTCCTGCTGGTACACTACGAGCACCTCCGCCTTACGCTGATTAGTAGGAAGGGTATATAGTAATTGTTCCAAATCCACTTTTTGAGCTCGAGTTAGCCATAATTGGTAGCGTTGAGAAGTAAGACGGAATTCCACCAACACACTTTCCCCAGCCGCCATCGCAATGTTCATGGGAAGCAGGCGATGTTTCACCAGAAGACTGATTACCTCAGAACGCTAAAAGAATAAGGCAGCATATGTTTACACAAGCAACTTTAATTATGTGTCCAAATTTACATAATAGGGTGTTTGTGTGTGCCATTAGCCGCGAACCATCACAGTAACGTGCTACCCGAATTCAATTAGTAGAAACGCTAATTACCAGTTAAGAACAGGGGACTTCCATGAAATAAACAATGTAGACCTATTTAGTGATGCTAGTATTGGTTTCTATGCCAGCAACCTCCCTAGAGTATGAAATTTAATCACCTCCAATGGCATACAAACGAAGACAAAACAAAAGAGCTAAAAAACGTCGAACGCAAAAGAAGCCCAAAAAAGCACAAGTCGTTGGTGCACTCACTTAATGTTTAGGGAAAAAATGGGAACCAAAAGTCAAAACCAGGACGACGAAATGGCCTTACCAAAGGGAGTCTTTGAATATTTGGGTTCAACGGCCTGGACTGTATTGTAGCCTAGGAGAAAGGTGTAACTTAAAGAAACTGCCGCATGAGGGGTCGTGAACTTGTGCGGAGCCGCTCTTCGAAACGTCTCAAAACGATCAAACTGGAAGGGATGAGGCAAGCTTACCACTGAATAGAGAGAACGCGAGGTAATCGGACCCAACCATCTCGGCCGTATGGCAGATGGTGAACCCAAAGAAGCCTAGTTAGATGGAGGGGGAGGGGGAAAGTGGAGTAGCGTTGGAAAAGGTAAGATGCCGCCGCTGGTCACAGCAAGCAGACAATGTCTGAACAGAGGAGAACCAAAACGAACACTGCGCTCAGAAAAGAGTTGACAAACACGCACACAGGAGAACTTACCAAGGGTGACCGGGAAGCACTGACGTATCCCCGAAGGGTGGACAAATTTTGTGACATACTCCGTCGTGCCTCCCTGGCTGGAGGCTCCTGAGTTAGTAGAATAAGAAAAGGGAGAGGGGATTGTATTTACGTCCTCACAGGTGGGAAAAGTGATGACGTCAGAGGAATGCAACTTGTTGAGCAGGTGGCAAAGGAGATGAAGAACTGGTAAATTTTAATGAACACAACTCTCCCCTTTCCTTGCAGAATGATTTTCCTTTTCCCAGCCTTCGTCAACAATCCCAAACTTATTGTGAGAAACAAAGCAGAAGTTAACACTTCCTTTACTAAGCGATGAAGCGAAGCAACAGCCTATGAAGGGGGAGGGGACAAAGTTGGCAAATGTGGCATACCGCCAGCAGATATCGGGAAGAATAGCAGTGGACAAGCGACATATGGGTAGACACTTACCTGAATCGACCTTATGGGGACTTTTGAAGTTCCCACTGTTGGCAAGGGAGTAACAGGACTTTGATTTCTCTGTAGCATATAAAGAGTACTGGAAATTTACGACCCACCCATGCTGGACATTAAAGTTTCGCACATACAATCCCAACTCGACAATGCCATTCGCCTAACTCACAGTTGAAAGACCAACAAATCCACCGACTTCAGTATCAAAGGGCATTTTAATAAATGGCACAACTCGCAGATGGGAAATAGCAACATCTTTTGAA